TACCTGTTTTGTAGTAGCCAGGCAGGACGAGGCTGACTTTGACGCCCCAGGGCTGGAGCTCACTGCGGAAGGTGTCCATGAGCAGGCTGAGGGCTGCCTTTGAGGCCCCGTAGGCTGCCAGGCAGGGGAAGGGCAGGTCACCTTGCAGGAGAGAAAGGACGAGCGAGCGGGCTCTCAGGCAGCTGCCTGCGTGGCCAGGGGCAGGCAGGGACCGGGAGGGCTTGCACAGGGCTGCGCTCCCGGCCACTGCACAAGGGAAGGGCTTAGGGTGGCAGCCTGATGCGGCTGGCTGGGGAAGCGGAGGTGCCCAGTGAGGTGGGAGCCACGCCACGTGGGGTTGCTCGACCCACACCCAAGCTTGGGGTGCCAGGGGTCTGGCGGGCCATGTTGAAGGCAGGCTGCTCACCCGCAGGGCTGCTCACGGTGACGATGCGGCCACCGGCAGAGCGGAGCAGGGGCAGCAGCCCCTTGGTGAGCTCCAGCGAACCGAAGAAGTTCACCTCCATGCAGGCGCGAAACTTGCCCAGCGGCGAGAGCTCGGCGTCGGCGATGGTGTCGTTGAAGCCGGCATTGTTCACCAGGCCCCAGAGTCCTGTGGGATGGGATGCTTGAAGAGGTGACCCGAATGCGGAACCCCCACCCTGGCAATCCCAGCTGCTCCCTAGCTCATGGGGGTCCTGCAGGGGAATTGTGGGGTGCCCTGGGACAAGCCCTGTTAGCAGAGGCTGTCGGCGCAGGTGCCCGCAGGGATACAGCTCACAGTGGGGGGGCACATGGAGGCTTGGCACTGCCACGCTGGCTGCAGGCTGAGGTCCCGGGGAGCTGCGTGGGGACCCAGGGGGTGCCAAGGGCTCCTACCTGTGCTGTTAGTGTGGGCCTGGATGTGCTGCAGGACGCGCTGGATGTCCTCAGGCTTGGTCAGGTCCATCTGCAGCAGTGTCAGCCTTGGCGAGCAGCTCCTGCGCAGCTCCTGGGCACCGGGACCCTGCGGGTCCAGCACGCTGGCAAACACCCGAAAGCCCATGGCATCCAAGTGCCTTGCTGTTGCCTGCCCAAAGCCTGAGTCACAGCCTGCAAGAGCCAAGAGAAGCCCTGCAGTGGCCAGCAACAGCCGCAGGCCAGCTGTCCCCAGCCCCCAGAGACCCCCCAGCTCTGCCTCTCCATCCCCAGGGACAAAACCCCCCAGCACCAGTCCTCTGCTCGGGGCTTGCTGCCCTACTCCGGCTCCGGAACCGCCGGGGATGTGACCTTGCCCTGGGGCATTCGCAGGTCAAGGAGCTTCTGTTTTCTCTTGTATCGCACACGGGAGGAAGAAAACATTCCCTTATCTGCAACCTCATCGCCCCAAGTGCCACTCTGATGCAAGGTGCAGGTAAAAGTGTGGGTATGGTGTGGTGAGGCACCGGAATGGCCCAGAGCCCAGCAGTGATGCGGGGTGGGAGCCATCACCCCCTGAAACGTCCTCCAAAAGCTCCATCGGGCACCTCTGGGAGCTGGCACAAGGCTCCATGAGAGATGCTGCCTTTCCCTGAATTCTTTTCACCTCCCAAAAATGGTGGCCAAGAGGCACAGCACTCCCTCACCTGTCTGGGGTGCCAAGAGGATTAAAAAGGGGAGAAAAAGAGGGATCCTGGTCTGCTCCTGCCACCCCATATCCTTCAAGGGAGCATCCGATGGGGATGTCCCACACGGGGGAGCACTGGGTGCTGCCATGCCCGGTCCCAGCCTCATCTCTATTTCAGCTCGAGCAGGGGCACTGCAGGTGACACTGTCACCCACAAAGCCACCGTCGGGGTGGCTGGGGGGCAGCCTGGGCGGGAGCTGGGTGTTGCGGGGCAGCGGCAGGCCTGTGAGGCCGGTGGCCTGGGCAAAGTGGCTGGGATGCAAACAAACAGCGGCAGCAAGGTACATTGGCCCCTGTTCCTGGGGCCGATGGCAGCGCTGATAGCTTGGGGGGAGCCCATGCCGCTGCCCAGCCACATTAACCATTAACAAGGCAGCACTGCAAGGGCAGCCCCTTGGCCCCTGCCTGGCACCCTTGGGTGCTCCTTAGGACATCCCTGAGAAAGGGCCCTATCCGGTGCCTGGAGCCACCCAGGGATGGATGCAATGGTGGCCTCGGGCACTACTACTCGCTCCATGGGCCCCCAGAAGACCCCAGATCCCTCCCAGCAGCCTTCCTGCCAGCCCTGGGTTGGGCATGGGGACCAGCTTCTCCCTCGGCTCCCCGCTCCCACACCCCCAGGCTGGGATGGGGGCACTGCCGGCTCCAGTTCTCGGGGTGCCAGATAAGCCGTCCTCGCCTCAGCATCTGTGGGCCAGTCCCCAGCTCAGCTTTACTTTATTGCTGCATGAGAAATCTATAATAAAATCCCTGGCCAGAGGCCAGAGTGATAGCACACCCTGGAGGTGCTCAGCTGGCAAGAAGGGGTTGCGGGGACCCCCCCCTTTCCCAGCGGAGCCACACAGCACCCACCATAGGTGTATGCCAGGCTGGCTCAGCATCACCCCCAGCATCGCCCCTGGTGCCATCCCCGGTGCTGCAGGGGATGCTGAAGGTGCCACGGGCTGCAGGTGTGGCACATCTGCCTCACCCCTCCCCGGGAACAGGCCGTGCTGCCAGCAGCCGGCCAGATAAGGTGCATTTTGCCTTTCCCAACAAGGCAGGAGAAAACTGCAATAAAGATAAGGTTTAAAAATAAAAGTGCTCGTGGCTGCTGCCGGGACACGGTTACCTGAGCTGCTCCCGCCCCAGCCAGCAAGAAAAGCTTCCAGGCCAAACAGAAAACTCCCCATCCCCTCCCAAGCCTCAAAACACTGGGAAACATCCCAAAAACCTGAGAGCGCCAGGCTTGATGGCTTGTTTCAGGCAAGCCTGGCAAGGATGGAGCAAACACGGCCGCGTGCAGTCCAAGCCAGCTAGGGTTTGTTTTGCATTAGAGGAGTGGGGCGGGTGGAGAGTTTCTTTCGGAAGTTTTAATTTATTCACACACACAAAAAAACAAAACAAAACAAAAAAAACAACCCAAAAAAACCCGCTGCTGGGAGGCTGGCAGGAGGCCCAGGGCTAGAAGGGTGAGGATGCTCTAGTGTTATTTAAGGTCTCTGGAGTTGCTTGGCTTCCCGGCCGCCATGCTCAGACATGGCCAAGAGCACAGGGAGGGAGAATTAAACCCCTTGGGACCATAACACGCTGCCCCAAAGCATGGCAGCTCGCCCAGGGCCATGCTTGCTCCCCGTGGCTACCGGCGCACGAGCCACCGGCCACACTGGGGCTGGTGCGGGAGCTGCCGCCACTGGCTCAGCCCCGCTGGGAGTGCCGGAGCCGGCCAGTCTGCGCAGCCCCGGCGAGGCTGGCGCTGGGCACGCCGCCCTCCAAGGATGCTGCATCACGAGGAGGTGCTGGAGCCAGCTCCCCCCGCCCCAGCTCCCAGCTTGCCAACCAGTTTTGCATCCGTGCTGGTGGGAGGGACCATGGTTGGACTGAGCACATGAGAAGCACAGCATAGGGAGTGCGGCAGAGGAGGGCAGGCGGCTCAAAGCCCCCATCATAACCCACCACGGGCCCCGAGCCAGGAGCCAGAGAGAGGCTTTTGCTGCAGCAGAAGCAGAGCCTGAGCCCAGGTTGCAAAATCCGGCAGAGCTCCGCAGGCTCAGCCAGCGGAGGCAAAAGCCGGCCCCAGGGGCCAGCTGGCCGCCTGCTGGAGCAGCGGGTCGGCAGCAATTCCCTGGGGACTTTGCAGATGCTCCAGCCACTGCAGCAGCAGTGTAGGCCATGCTGGCCTCCGCTGTTGGGATTTTGGCACGAGGAGCCCTGTCTTTACCCGTCTCAACCAAGCAAAAAAGGCTTGGCCTCCAGCATCGCTGTTGGTTTGCCCTCCTGCCTGCTCAGGGAGGGTGAAGAGGACCAACCACGTGGCATGGCGTGCCCACTGCCCAGAGAGAACCCTCACCAGCGAAACCAGAGACACCAGAGGGGCTGAGCTGTGCTAGCATAAGATGAAGCAACCCAGCAGCTCCCGGCCAGCCTGCTCGCAGCCTCTGCTGCCCGGCTGTGGCAGGGAGTGGTCACCACTCATGCTTCCTCGTTGCTGGGCCAGGCTGCGGCACAGGCTCATGGGCCACCAGCTGAAGCCGCAGTCCCAGTTTGGTACAGGCATATTTCTTCCAGGTGAGGCAGGCGCGGCACGGTGCTGGCTTTTTGCCGTCTCAGGTATTCGCACTGCTCCTGCAGCCAGCAACAAAGCCGCCATGCATGGACACGTGCTCAAAATCAACACTGCAGTTTGCTGAGTGGAGCTGAGACAGGCAATAACATGGCTACCACATGGCAGCTGCCAAACCACAACTGCCTCCCTCCGCCCCTGTCCCCACCGCCAGCACAATACGTGATGGAGGGCTGGTGGCACGGGCCTGCAGTGCTCACCCCGATGCAACGCAGGAGTGGCTTCACCACCTGAGCCATGAGCTGTACATCCTCACCCTCAACCATGAGCTGTGCATCCTCATCCCTGAGCTGCAAGCCATGCATCCTGATCCCTGAGCCACACATGATGGGAGAGGACCAGCACGGACCTGCAAAACCTCAGCGGTCAGAAGTGCAGCTTGGCTGAAGAAGCCCTATGTGGCTGCAAAGCTGCCCAGAGCCCAGTGGGTGCCTGGGCACAGCGGCAGCTCCCCAGGAGCTGCTCCCTCCACAGCCAACCCAGCCTGGGATCCCAGGTGCGGAAGCTGGAGAGGGGTTGCCCCAGGACTGAGCACCCCTCTGATGGACCAGCTCCCCCAGGGCTGGCCCTGGCAGCCCCAGGGGCACCCGGGTACCTGGTGAGGATGGGCTGTGGGGCATCCTTTGGGGACAATCCATCTCTCACCAAGCCTGGAGGCAGATGGGTGCTTGTCAACTGGATCAGACACCCGGAGCAGCACTGTCCCCTTCCCAGCTCTGCAGGCCATTGCCTGGGTGCCCCGTGTGCAGCCCTGTCACCTCTCCCCAAATCCCAGGATATCAATCCCACTTCCTGCACAGAGCTTTTGGGCTGTATGTCCCACCATGCTGCCTGAGACGCCTCACCAAGAAGGTGCTGTCACCACTGTCACCAGCCTCCCAGCCCTGGGATGGCACTGGGCTCAAGGACACTGTCAGCTGGAGGGGAGCTGGGGCACCAAGGCCGAGCGGATTAACACGCTGAGCTGCTTGTTTCCATAGGCTCAAGCTCAAATCCTGCCTGGGATGCCAAGCTAAACACGGCTGACATTTTGCTTGGAGGTGTTGCCTTCTGGCCCCGGCAGGATTCACTGCCACTGCCTCAGATCCAGCTCTTCCAGGTGCGGGACACGGTTGAGCCTGGCCACACCGCAGGGAGGCTCAGCCGGGTGCCCAAGTGGACGCAGCAGGGACTGATCCTGGCTTGGCTGCTTGGGGCGGTCATCCTGGCTCCATCATGGGAGCACCATGGGGACCCTGTGGGTGAGGAAGCCCAGGGTGAGGTGGCACCGAGCAGGGTGGCTGGAGCAGGATGCAGCGGGGACAATGCCACCGGAGGGGATGGGACACCCCAAAAGAGGTTTGGGGAGGAGGGGTCGCTGCATGGGGCAGGACGAATTGCCCAGCAAAAGCCCTCATGGGCAGGGCAGGGCCCTGCGGCCAACACCTCCCAGATGCCACGCACTTCTGGAGTGAGGAGCAATAAAGGGGTGATGTCAGCCCCGGGCAAGAGGGAACAAATTCTTGGCAGGGTGCTGGGGAGGGAGGGGACGGCAGGAGCACCTGTGCCTGTGGCAGCTGAGCCACCCTGGCCGCCTGCCAGCTCCTTCCCCCCGGCCAGCCATCGCCCACTGCCTGCCCGCACCCGAGGTCCTGCTGGGGGAGCGGGGCCGGGCGTCAACAGGAACCCCCCCCCCAGCCGGCAGCTTGCGCGTCAGCGTGCTGCGCCGGCAGCGGGGTGTCCCCGCTTCCCACGGAGCCCCCCCAGGAGCAGCCCCCGTGTCCGGGTGCTGGTGGATGGGGCCAAGGTGGCAAAAGGTGGCAGCATCCCTAGTGATGCTGCTGCTGGTCCTCAGCACCCGGTGTCGGGAAGCCATGAGCCTAAAACCCCCCCCCCAGCCGGCAGCTTGCGCGTCAGCGTGCTGCGCCGGCAGCGGGGTGTCCCCGCTTCCCACGGAGCCCCCCCAGGAGCAGCCCCCGTGTCCGGGTGCTGGTGGATGGGGCCAAGGTGGCAAAAGGTGGCAGCATCCCTAGTGATGCTGCTGCTGGTCCTCAGCACCCGGTGTCGGGAAGCCATGAGCCTAATGAAATTAAATTAAACCCAGGAAGATGCCTTCAGGGATGACCCAAATCCCATCCTCAAATCCCCAGCGATGGGACAACGCACAAGCCCCCCAAGCAGCTTGGGTGGGCGTCCCTGCAAAGCCTCAGCCTCCTTTGCCAGGCAGGACCTCAGCCAAGGGGGACACACGCTGCTCCTCCGGGGACCCCCCACGCAGCACAGCCAGCACGGGCAGCTGCAGGGAGATTACCAGCCAGGGTGCTGACAGCTCCCGCAGCCCAGGGTGAAGTGCCTCATCCACATCCCTCCAGCGGGTCCTATGGAGTGGGGCGGGGGCCAGGCAGACCCCCAGTCCCCCAGGGAGGCCTGTGGACCACGGCAGAAGGCAGAGCCGGGGATGCCTGTCACTGCAGGGGGTACATGGGTGACCCGACCCCCTCCCCGTGCCGGGGACAATGGCCAGATGGTATGAATTACAACGGATTAGCCAAGCGTTTCTGAAGCCTCACATGCCGTCACCTCCACCCGGAAAGATATGTTTATCTTAACCATAGAGACCAAACCAAAGAAAAGGGGGAAAATCTGATTTTCTGCCTAGACAACTCGAAGCAGCCGGGCAGAGGTGATGAAGAACCTTCAGGCTGG